TCCTCCCAGTTTGGAACACCCCCACTAGACTGCTGAATGCATTTGGTGAGTGGCTTCTCTGGCCTACCCGGTTTAGGGGTCACATCCTATTGGGTTAGGATCCATCTTCTCATTGACTTAATTTCTTCAGAGTGGTCCATCAACTCTGCAATTGTTGTAGACCTCGGGCCTATTGTGGAGGGCATTTGTGATTCTCAGGACTTTTGAACACTATTGAAATGTTTGGAAAATCATCAGACTTGCTAACACAGACTCCAGAAAAGTACACCTCTTGCAGGTAGAACGCAACCAATTGAAATGTGGTGTGTGAGATTCTGAGGCAGCAGTGAGCAACTGGAGGAAGGAGGCTAAGTGCAGAATGATCTGCTGGAGAGAATAGCAAAACTATAGAATTCAGAGATGGTGGCAACTATCTGGCTTGAAGAAGACTTCACTCGGCTGGTGGCAGTAACAATAGCAGTTTCAGCATCAGTTTTGTGGCAGGACATGTAGCTTCAGTCACTTTTCTGGTTTCTCCAGTCTGACAAGAATTCTATGAGCTACTCAGCATCTTCTTTATAAATTCCCTTTTTGACTTATCAGTCAAAATTACTTCTATTGTCAGCAACTAAAATTATGACTAATATAAAAATGGACACTCGAATTGTGACAATTGACAGAACCTCAAAGAAATGAGGGTTAACTAGAATTGGTTACCTGGTTTGGCAGGGGATGATGGCCCTGACTATCCAGAAGTGGGTCTCTGGCAGCCAAGGATGTACCTGTGCTTACCTGAGATTAAATGCTCCCTGAAGGCAAGATTTTGGGGGGTATCTGGTGGCCCCTTTCATAGAACAATATGAAGGTCATGAAGCATCAAAAACTATAGGGTGAGCCACTTGAGTCCAGAGACTCAAAACTTCTAAGTGATCCTTACTCTTCTCAAGGTACACATAGACCTTTTGAAGTCACGACTTTGTCTTTCCTCTTCTGAGTCTGCTTGTGGCTCATTCAGACCCATTCCTATACCTCTCCCTTGGATCTGAAAAGGCCACAGGGCCATGCAGATGGGGTTATTCTGAGGTGATCAGGTTTGATCTCTTTCCTGCCCTCCACTATCACCAATTTATAGTCACGAGGAAAATGATAAGACATTTATTGAGTCCTCTACAGTAGGTTGACATTCTAAAAATCCCAGACAAGGTTGTGAGCACAGCATTAATGGCAGCAGCAGTAGCAGTAAGCTGTGTGGAGCTTATCTCTATCATGGAAAGTGAAACCCAGGCTGGTCCAGCTCCAACAAGTGAGCCTGGAGTCACATCTGGGATGCCAGGGCTATGCCACTCCAGCCCTGGCAGGTGCAAAGCTAAAAAAGACAAATATTAGACAAGACAAAAAGACACACCCTAGGACCTGGAGTTCAGAGAAAGGAAGAGGAATGAGCAGATAGATGGTCCATTTGAGGAATGCTCCAAATCCTTGAAGGAGTCCCAGGCAGGCAGCATGGAAATGCTCACAGCGCCTGCATGGAATTCTCCCCAGCTAAGCACAAGAGCAAACTGTACAAGCTGACCTAAGTGCCCACCAGGGCCCTCTTGCTGTCTCTTACCCCCAATGCTGGTGGTTTTACAAATGGAGTAAGTCAACCCAGGATGGCTCAAAGCAGTAGACAGAGAGCAAGGAGGCCCTCTCAGGGTCCCTCACAGGAATAAGCCCACATATGTGTCATTTTCAAAGCTCTTCCATACACACAGGGCATCTCACTTCTACCTCATCCCTGGCTGTGGGGACAATGATGCAACCATGGCTTCTCCATTGCTCAGATCAGGACGCAGAGTTACCCTCTGCCTGGGGTCACAAAGCAAATGGCCAAGACCAGGTTAGAAAACTAGTCTCCCCACACACTGGCTCCGCTGCTTCTCCTGTAGCCTGGAATCCTGAACAGCTTTCTGCAGCCAGAGACTCTCTCCTGCATGAGGTGCAATGTATATCAGATGGATGCTTTGAGTGTCACGTCCTGGCTCGCATGCAAGGCTGTACACGCACAGGTGGGGCCATTTCCTCATTCAGCTGTATATCGGGCCCACCTGCATTTTCTCATCAGCCCATGAGGAGGTTTGACCTACAGACCTCCAGGTTTCTCCCAGCTCTAGTATTTTGTGAGTCTCCCCAAAGATGTATGAATAAAGGTCAAACAGTAGGTCAACAGCAAAGCTGTGAGAAGCCGAGGTCCCCCATTCCCTGCTCAGGCTTCTTCAGCTAGTTTCAGTCTCTCTGGACTCAAGCAGGAGTTTATGATGGTAATTCTCACCGTCTTCTTTTTGGAGTGGCCCTGAAGGGGTAAGGGTCCTCAAAGAACAAAAAAGAGAACCTCCTCTAGCTTTCCCTCTCAGGGAGAGAGAGAAGCAGATCAAGGAGCCGAGACTTGAAGAGTGATGATGGATCCAGGGGTATTTCCGGGATGATCCTATTCCCCAGAGAACCAGGGTCAGAGAAGATAGGGTTAAAGCAGGATCGCTGAGGGCCATGGGGCTGCCCACCGAAACAGAGAAAGGGGTCTGGCCTCAAGCATGGTGAGACTCCTGAGGCTCTTGGGGTTGGGGACTACAGAAAGCTGCTTCACCTGTCACTGACCCTGTGATCCCTCACTGGGTCCCTGGGAGCCTCAGTTTCCCTGACTTGTAACCCCATTTCACTCAGGACTAGAGACCCCTCCTCACATTGCCTGTCTGTCTCATGGCTGTACATTCATAACAGGGGACAAGAGATGTCCTCATTTCAAGAAGTAGTTGGCCTCCTGCAGGTGACATATGTCCTCTAGGATTGCATAGAACAGGAAGCCCCATCCCAGGAATGGTCCTTCACAGGCAGACAGTACCACAGTTCAGTTCTGCTCCAGCTTGGCAATCCCATAATCCCTCTTCCCACCATAGAATTTCCTACCCTGTCCCAGTGATTCCTGCCTGGGGCCCATTCCAAGCTGGTGGCTGGTATCTAGACAGAATCCCAGGGATGCAATGGGCTATACAAACCATTTAGTACTATTGCTTATTCTACAGATTTGAAAACAGCAGGTCAGAGAGGAAGGGTTTTACCCAGGTCTTGTGCTGTGCCCCCACTGTCTGTGACCTGAAAGCCAGAACCTCTTGGAACATTCAGAATATATCAGGTACATCTCACAAGACTGACAAAATCCATTTGGACAAAAAACCAAACCAACAGGAACCTGGAACCTCTAGGAGGCCACAGGCCCAGGGCTCAGGAAGCAGTACAGTATGTGGCATTCAGGGTTGATTTTGTTTTTGCTATTTTGTGATGATATATGTATAAAGTCACAGTTTCTTTTTCCACAGTGTAGCAGACCTGCCAGTGGGGGTAATGACAAATGCATGGGTTTCAAATGCAAAGGTTTACTCCTTGGATCTAGGGTGCCATAAATGGTACCAAGTATAGAAGGCTGGGTCTGCACATCATGCCCAAGGCACCTGTTCAAATGTCCAGCATTTCCTCTGTTCTACCAGTTTCCACTGTGGTGTCCAAATGGAAGAGGAAGAAGCTTGGTTTCTAAGAAAGGGAAAATAAACAGCAGCCTCCCAACTTACACACACACACACACACACACACACACACACACACACAAGCAAAACCATGGATGATACACAGTGATACACGCCCTTTTCCCTGCCTTAGTTTTGAACTGGGAAACTGCTAAAGTACAGAGGAACATTAGAAGCAACCTCATTTCACAAATGGGAAAACTGAGATGCAGAACAGGGAGCACTGTTCAGTCTCAATAGCCTGAGCCCAACTGGGGCAGATTCTAGGTTTCTGAATCCCAGGCCATGGCCAGTTCCAAGTGTCTCAGGTCCCTTAGCAGTGTCCAGAGTGTGGGGTGATCAGCAGAGACTTACTTGACTAATACACCTGGCTCCCAGAGCAGGGGAAGGTGATCATGAGGTGAGGTGCAGGGTAGAAGAGCACTGCACATCCCATAGCCAGTAAAAGTCACTAAATGTGTCTGGAAAAGGGCATGAAGGGTTTTCTTTCTCTGGCTTTACCAAAGACCCAAGGACTTGCTTCACCATCCAAGGACACAGGACTCACTGCTAAATCTGAGCAACTAGACCCTTCTCCAGTTACTCTGAAGTTCCCCCTAGAAGCAGTGCCCCAAGACCCCAGGGCCCCATCTTTATGAAACCAAGTAGAATAACACCCCCTTCACCCCAAATCCCCATGCATTCCAGAACATGACCACAAACAGACAGGAACAAGGTCAAGAGTAAACATGGAATGAATTGGGTCACATGGGCCCATGGCATGCCACACTTTCCTCTGCCTTCTCTGAACGTGGGTCAGCCCTATTGTAAATTCTTAGGCTGTGACTCTGCAACTTACAACTGGGGTGCTAGGATGGGCACTGGGGAGCCACTGTTCTTCCCATCATCGGCTTCTGCTAATGGGTAGGGTGGGTGTAGCATTCCCTTTCAGACACCCTAGCCTCCCAGCAGCCCACAGTGACTCAATGTCAATGGCACAAAGGGGAAGTCTTTGCAGATGTCACAGAGTTCAATAGTTGAATCCAGGCATCTGGGGCTCCTCACCATCAATGAAGATGGGGGTGGGGAAGCCCAGGGCACATGGAGGTACAAGGTGCTTTGGACTTGCTAACCTCACAGGAAGGTGGCTGGTTCATCCTACCATGGCTTTGACTTAAAGGTAAATGGAGGAGAGAGGGGTTGGGAACTCTGTGGTGGATATGGCTGGGAGCAGTTTCTCTGGACATCCACTGGGGACTAGGAGGACAGAAAGGAAGCTACCAGATGAGCCCTGCTCAACTTGAGTCAAGGGCACAATAGTAGAGATGGTGAAGGTCTTCTTCCATGGGTCTACCAAACTTTCATCTCCTCCCCAGCTGCATCTGCATTTCTGGCTCTTAGCTCTTCTTGGATCAAATAAAAAGCACCAGAACTTTCCCTGACCCTCAGCCCTACCCTCAACTGAAGTATTTGATTGGAAGGAGCTGTCCCACTGTCCTGGTATCCAGGAGCTGGGTACCTAGTCACCGAGATGCCAGATAAGTATGAGGGAGCCTCAGGGCTGGCCTGCACTAAAGGACATTCTGTTCACCCAAGCCAGATCTCCGGCTGGCTATAGGGACTGTTCCCAGGCTGAGAAGGGCCCACATCCAAAATTAAATACTGAAGTGTTAGAGTGGGCACTACTCCAGCTTCTCCATAGCAGGGTCTCTTCAGCCTCAGCTCACAAGGCCTCATGCCTGAGTCAGGCCATCACTGAGGCTGGCCAAGATGCAATGAGTGGGTGAAGTTGGGACCTGACTAAAGTGAGCAGGGAGCTGGGTAGAGGGGGAAGGGATGGGGCAACTTTCCAAACTTGAGAAGTATTTACACATCAAATGAGGGCCTGGGAAAACCACAGTGGGTGGGCCAGTACCCAAACAGGAGGGGCAATACCAGTCCGCACCTTGCCTCCCTCTCCCCCACCTTTCTGCCCAGGGCCCACCCAAGGGGAGGGAAGAGGTGCAAACATGTGTAGGCACCTGCGCACAGCCCCAGCCTGTGAAGGTGGAGAGGGAAAGGGGAGGCTCAGGTGGCCAGGTTGTCAGCCGGAAGGCCAGACATGCGGAGCTGGGAGCTGCTCTTGCTCAGGATGGAGAGCTGGGTGCCCCCATTCACCCCGCTGCTGGCCAGAGATGGGTGCCGGTGCTTGAAGTCCATGGTGAAGTAACGGTTCACCTTCCAGCTCCGCCACTTTCGTTTGATCTCCGCCTGCACCTGCAAGGAGGAATTTGCCTGTGACTTCTAATTGGGTGTCCTCTCCAACCAGAGTGGACTTGCCCTGGCCTGGGACCTTCCCAGCTGCCACCACCACTCCAGCCCCCTTCCCACTCCCCAACTGCAGCTTCACCCACCATCACTGTCTAAGCAACACCTTCAGACGGCTTCCCGCGCTCAGAGACCAGCCCGTGGGTCTGTCAGGGCATCTTTACCAAGCAGCTGCTAGAGGCACAAGTATCAGTGCAAGGATCTCCACCTCCACTGACCATTAACAGTAGGAAATACGTAAGAATTATTTGAGGAGCTTTAAACATCCCAGATGCCCAGACCCTAAGAACAATGCTATCAACACCTCTCAGTAAGACCCAGGAATCTGTAGTTTTTTAAACATCCTAGGTGATTCCGATGTGCAGTTGGGGCTGAGAACAACTAAATAAATAGTCCACTCCTCTGAGCAAACACACTCCCATGTAGCTCTTAGCATGCAGTAAGTGCCAGGCCAAGTGAGCTCACCCTCAGCCAAGTGCATTTGTGCAGTGCCTAAACTGCACAACTGGAGGCAGCACCCATACCACCTTCTCCACTTTGAGCTCCCACTTCCTCTGCAGGCCCTTGATGCACTACTTATACTCCCACCTCTTGGTTCTCCCAGTCACTTTCACAGGGCCCTTTCTGCCTCTGCTTATTTGTTCAAATCTGATCCTTGCTGATTGGCTACAACCTAATTTTTTGGTCTCAGGTTCAAAATAGGTGAGGACTCTGCTGAGGTCAGGGTTATGCAGTTACACCTGAGCACTGATGCAAAGATTCCTACCCATCCCACCCGCCCAGCCCTACCCCTCCTCTGCACCTCTGTTCTGAGCTCTGTTCCAAAGCATCAGTCCAACTAGCTAGAGAGGGAACTCCAAGACATAGCTCTGGAAATGGAGTATTCCTGGAAGGTTCCTTGTTTCTCCTTGGGGTCTCTTCCCAATCCTCATGGCTCCTGCTATACCAGGTGACAGATTTGTGTCAGATAGAACAGTCTCCTGGGAACAGCACTGAATACTCCTAGCTCAGAAGCCCTGGCCATCAGAGCCTCCTGTCCTGCAGGTCCCATTACCTGTGCCTGGCCCTTCTTCATGCCAAGTCCTCTTACTAAAGTGTGTATAATGGAAAGAGGACTCCCAGGGAGCTCTGTGCTCAGCAGAGCTGATGCCTTTTCTGGGCAGAGCTCAGTTCTGCAGGTTGTGCCTTATCTGCAAAGAGGGAGAGACTCTGACACAGGTCAGGAGACCCTGGTGTCACACAGCTCTAGCAGCTGCACAACCAGCCCTCTCCCCTTGGTGCCCTCCAGAGGAATCTGTATCCATCTGCTTCCTAGCAAACCCACCCCCACCGCCGAGAAGGCCAGGGTCTTACCTCCCCATTCAGGAAACAGTAGAGCACAGCCACCACAAAGCCCTGAGGAGAGATAAAAACCAAACCTGAGAGTGCTGACAAAGGGTCTTCAGAAATACTGTGTGCACAGGGCATGTGAGAGGGATGGCAGTGGGAGGACAACACCAGAAGGCAAAAAAAATATGGTGTGGTGTACCTGCGCAAGGATCTAGGGTAAGGTGGGATATGTTCTGCCCCTCCCCAAGATGGGCACACCCATGGATCCAGGTGACTCGTGAAACAGTCCCCACAAATACACCCCGGCATTAAGTCTCTCATTCCCATTGCTAAAGTCCTGGTCTATCTCATTCTGTACAGGAGGTCTTCCTTAAATGCTCAAGAATACTATGGGAGATAACCAACTAGTCTGCAGGCTCCTGAAGGCAGTCTTCCAGGACAGAACAGACCTGTATTGCCTTTCTCCAATCGCCACCTCCTCCCCACTCTGTTCTCCCTTCTCTGGACACTTCTGTACACAGCAAAGTAAAACACTATGTACAGCAAGTATTTGGCATGGAGCTATTTCTACATCTATACCAGACATCAGCAATAACACTTTTCCTGGATGCTGCAAGCCAGTTCCTCACAACCTCTGTGGCCTGTGCTGCCATTTGAAAGTGTCAGAGGAATGGTGGCTGGGATACACCAGCAAGCACAAAGATGAGAGCCCTGGGTTCTGACTCCTGGGTCAGTCCTTTGTCTATAAAACTCTCAGCTTTGTCAGGCTAAGAATCTGATAAGTGAAATTGTCTGGAATTAAATTGGAGGAGAGAAGGGAGATTCGAGTCAAATGCACAGAGTAGCATTCTATCCAGCTAAAATACTCATTTAAACGGGTGGCTTAGAAAGACATGTTCTACCCAAGGACACCCAAGGAAGCCATGCCTCCTATCTTATCAACCCATCACTAGTCCCCTCTGTGTGTGTCCTCACTGTGATGCACTCACTTATCTCGCCATGCACAGAGGCACTGTTCTGTTCCTTCTCCCATCCCCTCATCATTCCCTTATGTACCTGCTTGCTCACACTCCTGTCCAGCTCATTCCCCATCTTGGGTGAGACCAAACTCTTGTAGGGTGCATGGCTCAGCAGGCTGAAGTCTGGACGTGGACACCCAGGACTCTCAAAGCCATCCTGTCCCTGAGCCCAGGCTGATGGAGAGCTCTCATCTCAAATTACCCAACAGGGCTCAGCATCTTAGATGTGGTGATGCCTGCCATTAGTGCCTCCTTACAGCAGCAGAGAGGGATGTCACAGTGTACTTCTGTTCTAGTGCTCATTTTCGACATAGAAACACAGGAGCCTGGAGCCAGGATTCATGAGGTTCCAGGGCCACTGGCAGGTCAGAGACCAGGGTCCTGGGTCCCAGTGAGTTCTGCCCTCCACATGCTCCATGCCTACCTGAAAGGAACCCAGCCCCAGCTCAAACACGAGTCTTTCTCTCTTGCTGACATTTTCAGGGGAGAAGGCGAATACTGTGTAGTGGATTCCAAACAGTGGGATGAGCAGCAGAGTGGACCGGGCCAGCCGTCTGTCAGGAGAAAGCAACATTTCTGCTCCAGGGGCTGCCAGGGTTTGGGACCAGAGGGCACAGTCCCAGACCCTCGCTTTCCCCCAGTTCCCATTCACAGACCTGCTCAGCAATCTCTTCCAGTGCAAGAGGCCTGGGAGAGAGGGTTGCCACCAGAACACAGGTGTCTAGGACTCTCTGGAAACTGTGGGGAGATTTCCCCAGTCTGAAGGGCACCATGTCAGTATCCTGAGGACCCACTAAAAATGTATCCATGTCTTATAGGGACTTCTTGGGTGGTGTGCAAAATGCTTGGATAAATGAAACCAGGGTGAAACAGGACAGGGTTCAGGAGTCTCAAGGAAAAGCAAACCTCATTCTGTAAGGAAGCTCCATGTGCCCCAAAAGAGCTGTTCTTGAAGGCAACAGAGCCATCAGCTTTAGAATACATGGATAGCTGGGGACACTAACTGACAACAATGAGAGGTGCCGTGACAAGGGCACTGAGCAGACCACAGAGGTAGACATAGGAAGGATTCCAGGAAAGAGTGTCTCTGGACATAAACCATCTCTACCTAGACAGGAAAAAGCTATGGCCCAGGAAGGGAGTCAAAGGAAGAAGAAGATGTCTGCTCTGACGTGGGTCAGGCAGGGGAGTCCACCAGGCCTCCTGAAGCCAGCTCTCCACAGTCCCCTGCCTGACACTGGCTCTTGGGCCAAGACTAAGCTTGGCTTTGTTCTATGGGTGCAGGAGCATAGAAGCCAAGCGTATCAGGAGCATGTGCACCTGCAAGTCCTGCACTGTTGGGAGTGAATTCTCCTAGGGCTTTCCAGAGTGGGACATCATCTCTACCTATCTTACCATCCTGCCTCCCTATAGGCCTCCCTAAAAAGCTCAGCCCTGCCTTACAGGCATCTGCCCCTCAGCTGTGTCCAGATCAGCTCCTTCAGACCATCAGCCTCAACTACTCCTGGCCCCGCTCAGTCCTCAGAAGTGAACAGTGAGTTTAGGGAAGGCCATTTGATTGGGGGCAATTACATCATGTGCCTCTCTCCATTCCAACCTTTCTAGGTGAGAACATTCTATCTACCTGAGGGGTGAAGATTTCTAGAAAAACCAAATCTGTGAAGTCTGTGTGAGATCCTTGGTGTCCTAGCTTCTATGAGAAAACAGACAGCAGGATGGAGAAGAAGGGAAAGGAAGAGGGAAGGAAATCTTCAGGAGGAGGAATCTCATCCCAGAAAGGAGGAGACCCCTGAGTGTGTGGTAGCTACCTGCCCATTCTCAATATACAAGTAGCAAGTTCTGCAAGACCCCAGGGTCCCTAGACCAGCACAGGGCTAACAGGATGTGAGCTGTCCCTGATGTGAACCCAGATGCAGCTCTGAGCAGCCTATCCTTTCTTTCTTCCTCTTATCTATCCTTTCTGACAGTGGCCCCTTGTTTATCTGTTATGTCCCATAGCAAGCATACCCAGTCACAGAGCAGATACCAGAAATGCCTGTTCTATGGAGGAACAAATGAACCATACAAACATGAGAGCCTGGAGCCCTTAACACTGAGCATCTCCTGGACACCTGGGTGTCTCGGTGCCAGGGCCAAGCAACAGAAAGCAGCAGGGGGTGTCTATAGATAGACAGAATGAAAGTCAGAAGAACAGAGGAGGGTGGCTTCAAATGTACATGCCTGGTGGTGTTGGGGCTTCAGAGGGTCCTGCCTAAGGGCCGACTTTAAAACAGATGTTTACCAAAGAGCTCAGGGAGGGGAGCAGCCCTGGAACCTGTATGAAACTGGCCAGGTCTCCCCCTAGCCTCCCTTCCCACAAATGGACTGGTTCCAGGTTCTTGTCCCTGCAGTCTGAAAAGGGCTCTTGAAGACAGATCCCAAACCTCTCCATGTCCTAATGGCATTAGACAGGTCAGGTCCAGAGTGAGAAACAATATTTGCCTTTCGTAAAAGGCACAGGCACAGGAGGAGTGCAGTGACTGCACTGAAGCACCCCACGGTGTCATTCAAGACAGCACCTGCCCTCCCCAGCAGCCCTGCAGTGTACCCAGCACAGACAGGGACCCAGGGCACCCAGGGTCCCTCAGCAGACAGGGCAGTGCAGACAGATGAGGAGGTCTCTAGGGCCCAGAGGTGTGGAACTTGTGTACTTTTGAGCTGCCTGGAGGCTCTGGAATGGAACACACAATGTGAGCCTCATGATCTATGATCTGATTAGTCCAGAGAGACAGTGACATAGGGCCTCATTCTCTGCCTTCCTGCCCGAGGAGCCATCAACAGACAGACAAATCCTGAAATGCCAAGATGAATTTCCAATGATTGGAGTTGCCCAAATAACAATGGGCCAGTGGATTTCCAAATGAAGGCTGATGCTCCAGTCAGAGACGACCTGGGACATGGGTTTAGGACTCTCTGAGTTCAAATCTTCACCCAGGCAATTACGTGGCCTTGACTGAGTCATGTCACCTCTCTGTGCTTCAGTTTGCTCATCTATCAAATGGGTACAGCACCAGGAACCAACCCATAGGGTCCTCATGGAGTACTCTGAACACTGGGTGAGGTCCCCTGCCCTTTAAAGGGGGGATAATCTCTATGAATTCTAGTTCAGAGCTCTTAGAAATGGTTGTATAATTGTAATAACTGAAGCCCAGAGATGTGGGAATTTGGGGAAGGCCACATTAAGGTAGCTGTGACATGCTGTGGAGCTACTTCCTGTTAACTCCTGCCAAGCCCTGGGATGCCCCTGCAATGCCACAGCTCTGTCCCCATGTCCTGCCCGCCCACCCCACCCACAAGACTGCAGAGAACTCACAAGACACACAGACATCAACATGCAACAGCTGGGGATGGGCTTGGGCTGGGAGGCACGGGATGGCTCTCCACACTCCTCCAGCCCAGCAGGACAAAAGCTCAATAGCAGTGGCGGTGGCAACATGCATCCCCCTCCCCTCCAGGACACCCGGCCACAGCCACAGCCACGGCCACGCACACTTACAGAGTAATGGTGGACAGTTCTGACATCTTGCAAGAGTGCTGCTGAGCCCGCTGTGGCTTGCAGTAGCATTTCTGTACGCAGCTGCTGGGTGTGACAAGATTAGCACTTTTGTCAGCTGGGGACGTTGGACTGTGCAGAATCTGAGGTGGGGCTTGGGGAGATTTGGTTCACAGGGAGGGTAGAGGAGCAGAGGGGATGGACACAGGGCTAGGATAGTCACCCAGAAGGAGGTGAGGAAGCTGAGGACCAAGAAACAGCCCAAAGAAATGCACGCCCTTACATGTATGTATATGTGTGAGTGGTTACACACACGAGCACTCACACTGCAACCACCTATGAGTGGTTTAGAGGTGAAGCCAGGGCTGGGGCTCAGGCAAGGAGCCAGATGCTCTCTCCAGAGTTAGCCCCAAGCACAAAGCATGGCCTTATCAGAGGCCACTCAGTGAGATGAACAGCTAGAAACTCACCTCAAGGACCTCACACATTTCCAGGCATGGGCTGATAGAATTCTGAGCTTGGTGGTAAAGGTCACTTCCTCTAGTCACCCCTATCCCTCTCTCTCCTCCAGGCCAGGCCTGCCTCTCTTGGAGTCATCACAAACAGGAGGAGCAGACATAGTTCAGAGTTTGGATTGAATGGATTATTAACTAATCTAGAACCACATTATACACTATGATAGCCACTTCACTACTCCCATGTATTTATATGAATTAAAATTAATCAAAATCAAATTATCAATCCACACAGGGCATGGTAGCTCATACCTGTAATACTATTTTCTCTGTGGAAGAAGATTGTGGTTCAAGGCCAGCCTGTGCAAAAAGTTCATGGAGACCCTATCTCAATCAATAAAAGCTGGGCATAGTGGCGTGCACTTATCATCCCAGACAGGCAGGAGGCCTTAGTAAGAGGAGGATTGCAGTCCAGGTCAGCCTGGGTATAAATGTGAGACCTTACTTGAAAGACAACTGAAAGAAACAAAAAGGGTTGGGGACGTGACTGAAGTAGTAGAGTGCCTGCCTAGCAAGTGTAAGGTTCTAAGTTCAAAATCACAGGACCACCAAAAACATATATCATCAATCTACTTCCTCAGTTGTTGCAGCCACCTATGGTTACTGATGATCCACTGGTCACACAGATACAGGGTACTTCTAACACTGTGGAGAATTCTACTGGGGAGTGCTGGGTGCCGCTTCTCAGTTACAGCTCAATGGGCAGGGACTGCAGATAGCACCTTTGGGCACTGCACCACAGCCTACAGAAACAAGTCACCTTAGGGAGGTGGGCCAGCTAATATACAGGTTCTGCTGGAGAGGAGGAAGCTCCGCTTTTCTCACAGAGGCATCTGGCTGCACCTCCACTTTGGCCTTTTGTGGTCCCATTCATGCTTGAACAGGCACAAACCGTGGACACTTTTTTTCCCCTTTCAGAGATGGATTAAGATCTTTTATCTTCTTAGACTAGAAGTCACTCCTGCCTGAACCCTCCTCAGGTACCACGAGGCAGATGCTAAGGCTCCTGGTTACTAGCTGGTGAACTGATAAACCAGATGTGGACTGAATGTCAATGAAGACAGAAACATAGGAGAGACGAGACCCTGGCCATTCACAGATTTGCTCTTTGTGACCCAACTCTCTGGTAGTAAGTCTGTGCTGACGCAAGAATTTCTACCACATAATTCTTACTTGCCAGACATCCATGCCTCTCCAGGCTTCTGGTTCCTATCTAATAAACTGCATCTTACAATTCACACCAATGGTGAGGTGGGTACCACAGGCCCATTTTGCAGAAGAGAAATGTGAGGTGTGGTTTGATGCATTGCTACTCAAGTGGTCTCAGACCAACAACATTGACCCCACCTGAGAGCTTCTTGGAAATGCACTCAGCTGCCACACTGACCTGCAGACCTGGGGCTCAGGATCTACATTTTAACAAAAGCCCCCACCCCGGGGTGGGGGGTGCACACATGTGAGTCAAGTTTGAGAAGCATGTTAGGAAGTTCCTGCATCTAAGTTGTTCATGTATCCACAATGAACGTCAAAAGTCCATTTTATATATACACAGAGACAGACACGAATAATCATTGAAGGAAGGTATTTGGGTGTGGTAACAAATCTGCCCTTCACATTCATCATCTCCCTTGCCCAGACCAAAAGGTTGGGTAGTCTCCCTATGGCCAGTAACTCTTCAACCACAGTTGGGTGTACAGTAGAAACCAGGATCAAGAGCCTGAGACTCTATAAGTCCATGATTGCTACCTACATCAACACTGACACCCTAGCCTGAATTCTAAACTGCAGCCTTTCTCCTCTTGTAACTCCTCTTTCTTTAGCTGCAAAGCGTCCCTACCCTTCCAGTATCTGAGATAGATACTATCAACACAGGCTTCTCTGATTTTTTGAAGGATTTCTAAAGACAATTTAGTGACAAGTTCACTGGGATGTGTGGTTCTGATTTTGGTGGGGGGGAGGTGATCAAGGAGCAGTAGAGGTGAGAATGACGCTGGAGGACTCTCAGGGTTGCCAAACCTGGGGAAAGAGGGAAAGAGGCCCTGTTCCCCTAACACCACCCCTCCCCAGACTGTCAGTGATTGCAAAAGGATGCACTGCAAAGCAATAGAAGGAGCAGTGGCAGAGCAGCCAGGAGCGTGAGAAAGACAGAGATATGAGAGTCTCAGGACAATTAGGGAAAGGGGAAAAGGAGTTCCACTGAGAGAAAGAGAGGAGCTCTGAGCTGACTCCAAAGGAGGACAAGAAACTCAGATGGGGAGTCAGGTAGGGCTGCCTGGAAACCAGAGGTCGCCTGAATCTAAAGGCAGGAAACCCCTGTCACTCTTGCGGGGCCCACTCTGCAAGCCAGCAGCCTTGGCTTCTAGGCCTGGTTCTGTGACAGCTGCGCTGTGTCTGCAGGAAAGTCAAAGCCATACTCAGGTCTCAGCACTCACGTGTGTCCCCCAGAGCTTCAGCACAAGGTTTCTATGGTGGTCAAAGGCCATGCATGCTTCAGTAGATTTTGTGTGCAGGGCTGGCTGAGCTGCAGCCCCAGGAAACACCCAGCAGGACACTAGACAAGACCTGTGCGTAGCTGTTGGCAGGCAGCACCCTATCTTCACTTCTATGATCCTTGTGATCCCTGTAGTGCTGTATCCTTGGTAGTCCATAGAACATGGTGGTCTGAGATGAACATATCATATAAGGTTTCCTCCTGATGCTAAGATGCACCCCACCAGGAGCATGGCTCTGCAGATCTTGGTAGCTTCCTGCCAACCCCTACCTCTGCCCCTGCAGGAGGACAGGACAAGCTAATTCTCTGCTCTCTGCCAGCTTGGAGGGGTTCCAGCTGAGGAGCCAGGCTCTTGAGCTCAAGATCTTTGGCCACTGACTTGCTGAGTGATCTTAGGGGATGTCACTGTCCTTTCTTAGGCCTCAGTTTCTCCATCTGCAAAATGAGAGTAACAATTTCCTGCTGCCACACAGACAGGATGGCAGGGATGGCATGCTCCCAGGCAGGGGGTGCTGTGGAAGTGGAAGATAGAGCCTTGTAGACTGGAAGGCCTTGGCTGTGAATGAAGGCCTTGGGCTGACCTTCCTGGCTGTACTGTTGCCTCACCATGCAGAGTCTGTCCTGGAGGTGAGCCAACTCCCTGATGGTGTAGGGAGAGAAAACCTGAGGGATGTGCACATGGGTTTTTCCCTCCCTGCACCAGCCTCCAGTGCCTGTCTTCTGTGGGTGGAGGCAGGGTGGATCACTATGAGTGAAGCCAGGTCACTCCAGGGTGTTGCTGAGGTTCTTCCTGCATAGTCCGCATCTGCCATAGAAATCTCATCCTTCTCTTCCAGAACTAGGCAGCCATTCACAGCTGTAAGCTGGTAACCTCAGGTCAGCCAGCAAAGGCAGGCCAACCCTACCCTGCCTCAGGCTGAAGGCTCAGCACTGACTCCTGCCCAAAACAAAGTCACCCCTAAGCTCTGCTGAGCACTGACCCAACCCCTGACTCCACTTCTGGGCATTCATTCTACCAGGAACATCAGGGGAGGGTGTGAGCAGTTCAGTGCCCCTGCCCCATGCAGGACCCCACACCCAACAGGTCCTTCTAAGGCTTAGCCAGGAGTGCCATCTTGGTCTGTGGAGAACAAACCCTTATCATCTGAGCAGCTGGAACCAACCTACAGGAAAGGGAGTGAATGCTGGTCTGAGGGCACAGGCAGGGGGTCCTCTCGGGCTTTCTTGGGGACTCCCAGGCTTAAATTTGTTCTAGAAACAAAGGAAAAAACCAGAGAGCTATTGTGGGCAGACCTGAAGGGACCTTGCAGCTCAACACATACATCTGGGGTCCCAGGCACAGCCTTGGAATCTCCCTCTCCCACCACACCCTGTGGTCTCCACCTCCTCCCACCAAGGCTCAGCCCTTCTCTCCATGCAGACCCCTCCCTCCTCAGAGCCAACTCCCTCACCAACCCCCCTGGGGGCACTTTTTACACCTCTTCATCCAGGAAGCTTTATTTCATAGGCTAGTTTAACTCTGGAGTCCTTAAGACAAGAATGATGGTGCAGTCATGTCTGGGGTGAAGGGCTGCCTGCACAGCAGCTATGGCTTCACTCATTCCTACTGAATTCATGGCACTTCACTAATAATCAGCTCCCTCAGCTATAAAATGGGGCTCTACTTAACAAATGCTTACCTAGCGCACCGGCCTTCCTGGGAGTTTGTGAGTATGAACTATGCAACCAAGTCATGACTGTTTTTAAGTGCTCTGCAGTTCTCAGCAACATGGCCACTAGGATTATTGCTCATCCTTGCCAACAGGGTCTCCTTGACCCTGAGAACATGCAAGCGTTTGGCTGAATTCAATGGGATCAAACTGATCCCCATCCAGCACTGGTCCTCCACATAGCTTGTATACCCCTTCCACCTGAGTTTTTAATCTCTGGGGCTCAAGACAAGCAGTGGTCTAGCTTTCTCTACATAAAGGATTCTCTGAGCTCACCACTATAGAAGGAAAGCATCTAGCTGCTTCTTCAAGTGTCCTGGATTGCCACCTAACTGTATAAACCATGTGCTAATTACAAGAGCTCTCAGCCATGCATCAGGAATACCTGGCAGGACTCCACAGCTCCCAGTGTGTGGATAGCCTGAAACATTGGCCTGCCCTTCTTTCCCATCAGACCCTAGGTATCCTTGCTGCCTGGGGCAGGATGTCTGAGCTGACTAAGTGTGATCAGGGCTCAGTGGAGCAACCTTATTTAGACTGAGGCCGAGGCCTGGTGTGTGTCCCTGTGTGGGGAGAAATTGGAAGGACCCCCTAGAGAAGGGGGTCTGGAAGCCAGGAAGGGGAGGAGACTGAGGCTGCCAGAGCTCAGGTGAGAAACGAGGATCACCCACTGGCTCTAAATACCAGGGTAACTCTTGGTAGGGGAGTCAGTCCGAAATCAAGCAGGGGAAACTGAGGACAGACACAAGAACAAGGCTTCTGACACTGGGCAGGGAAGGGAGGGGAGCAGTAGGATCCTCTTTTGTGACTCCCTGAGATGAGGGCAGGAATGATCTCTCTAAGACAGGAAAGGTAGTGGCAGAGGTCTGTTCCCACAAAGCCTTCATGACTTATATTAATCAATAACTTCCTACTACATAATAGTCATATATAAGCGAGAGTTGGTAAAAAATTTACAAAAAATATGGAGGGAAAAGACAATATAAGTAAGAGGTCAGCAAAAATAAGAAAGTGTCTTTTCCAATGTAATGTAATCACTGCAGAGGCAGAGCAAAACATGATGAACCACCCAGACTCTAGGCTAACCATCACACACACACACACACACACACACACACAGAGCCTCTGATAAAAGAAGAGGAACCCAGGCTGGACAAACAGACAGGCTAAGAGTAAGCTCCACCTCCTCCAAGAAGCCCCAAGTACCCTTAGAAAAGGTCTAGGACTCCACTTCTGAGCAATCCCTCCCTCCCCCTCTTCCTAGAAGAATGGCTGGATACTAGGGAGCCATGTGCCAGGGTCTCTCTGCTGTCCCACTCACTTTTCCCTGAGAAACTAAAGTTGCCAGCCCCAGATTGGCATCTCTGATGAAGACAGAACCAAGCATCCAATGATTCTTTGAAAATCCCACAGTTCCTTCTAAGCTGCCCTCATCTCAGGGAACCAAAGAAGCAAACACAGGGATTCTACTGTGCCTCCAACCAACCACACGGGGCCACACCCAAATGCTTGCCTAGTCAGGATTCCATTCCAGAGACCAGCAGTGTGAGGGGCTGGTGCTCTAATTCAGGATGGGGCAGGGCTGGGGGTATGGGGGCAAGGACAGAGCCTGTGGAGATATATTATTAGGATCCTGACTACAAAAATAGTCAGAAACAATAATACAGAAACCAAATGGCTGTGAAAGTAGAGAAAGCTTTGCACTCAATGGTAATTGAAAACAAAGTAATTACAGATGCTACTCTTCTTAGGAAGGAGGGAGTTGAGGAAGCAGGATAGATAGATGCAGAACTAGAGCAGTCCAGAGGGAATGAAAAGGAGACACAGACTCCCCTTCCAACACACAACCCTGTGAGAATGTCTGACTGGCTATTTCTACACGTTGGATTGGGGCGGGGGGGCTATCAGGCATCAGTGTATCCAATGATGTTCACATGCTCCCACAGAACCAACATCCCCAAAGGAAACCCAACTTCTAAACAACCAAGACCCTAGCCACCCTAGGGACACTGGTGTTTTCCACTTTGATTTTCCTAGGGTCACTCAGGCTCTGTCATCTCTTTCTCTCACTCATCCCCCAATAGCTTCTGGGGAGCCTGGGAAGGCAACAATATTTCAGCAGCACTTTAATCAGAAAGTAAGGTCACCCTTTAAGCAAAGCCAAGCCTCGACTTGAGACAGAACCCATACGAGGTCAGAAATGGCTGTGTGGATACACAATGATACTTACAAGTAGATGCTGGACTCATTGCCCCCCATGTCTGGAGACTGCAGTTTCTGCACAAGGATGACAATGATGCCGACGAAAAGCACAAAGTTAACCTGAGGAGCAAATACACAGAAGAAATTAGTCTGGGCATACTCTGCCTCTGCACAGACTACTATTCTCCAAGCAAGAGCCTCCCACAAGCTGGTCAAGAGCTCATCAACTTCTAATCCAAGATGGCAGCAGGAGAGTTCTTACGTATGCCTCCCAGCTTCCCACAGAATCACTGAAGTGAAGGAAGAGATACAAGGAACAGAATTCTGTAGGAGTGCTGGAAAGCAGAAAAAAATATCATAAATGAGCTAGGAAAATGAGAAATTTCCAGAAGAGAAAAAGAAAGTAGGATCAGAGTGATGGGAAAACTACAATTTGAAAAAGAAAGAAGAGGCAACTGCAGACATGAGAGCTGCTCTCTGAAGAAACTCCAGGTTCAGCCAAGAATCATGACACGTGCCTATATTCCCAGGGCTTAAAAGACTCAGACAGGAGGATCATGAGTTTGGGGCTAGCCTGAGCTACAGCCAGACCTTGCCTTAAAAAGAAAAAAGAAAAGAATGGAGGAAGAGAGGGAGGGAGGGAAAGAGAAAGAAAGCAAGAGTGAGAAAGAAGGAAGGAAGGAGGGAAAGAAGGAAGGAGAGGGGAGGGAGAGAGGGGGAGGGAGGAAGGAAGGGAAGGAGAGAGAAAGAAAGAAAAGGAGAAAGGAAGAAAGAAACTCTAAGTTCATAATCAGGTAATGTGGGGAAATAGCACGGATGGGCATAAACTTTGCTAATTACAGGACAGCCTGGTAACAGCAATAGAAACATTTGCCTTCAGATAAAGATCAGGGACAAAGGCTTTTTAAACAAAGTAGGAAGCTGTGTGTATAGTGAGAAAGGAGGAGGCAGGGGAGCAAATAAATAGAAACAAGGCACAGCAAAAGGACAGGACTACAAGGGACATATTTGGGTTGCAGCCAAAGCAGTCTCAAAGGAAAGACAGGCTAAACTAATCTATTAAAAAATAATAGCTGCTGAAAAATAATTAAGCCTTCAAATCACAAGCCAAGGAAAGATTACAAATTTATCATACACAAGAAGGAAATTCATACAGGTAAAAAGTCATAAGAAAGGCAGAGAGAGCAGCTGCCTAGCAATCGGGAGGCCCTGAGTTCAAACGCTAGTACTATGAAAAAAAAAAAAAGTTATAGGAAAGAAATTGGAAAAAATAGGAGACTTGATCAATAAAAATAAAGGTAAATTTTCATTTTTATTTTTTAATAGATCAATTAGGATGATAAAGCATACTTCTACTCTGTCCATCTTCTCTGCTACATGTCTGGTCTCTAATCAGCAAATACAGCTTGATATGTGTCCACCAAGCCAAAAGGAGAAAATACAATTAAACAAATTTAGGTGTGAGAAAGAGGACAAGAAAGGTAAAGAATATTTTCAATCATGAGAGAACGTCAAACAAAAATGGAAAGACAAAAACTAACAAAAACAATTTGCAAAGAGCTCTCTCTCTCTGAGAAGAGCAATAACTTCTAAAAGCTTAACTACTCAAAGATACATGCATTAAAAGGCATCAAGCCTAGACAATTTTATGAACTTCTAAAGAAAAAGCAATTTACTTACTACTTAATTGCTTCAAATCAAATAAAACAAAAATGTCCTAGATTACCTATGAGACTTACAAAATCCTGCTATAAAAACCAGACAAGAAAAGTCAGGCATGGTGGTTCACACCTATAATCCCAGCACCTGGGAGACTGAGGCAGGGAGGATGTCAAGTTCCAGGCCAGTCTGTGCTATACAGCAAGACCCTGTTCCAAAAAACAGAACAAGACAAGGACAAAGCACTCACACAAACACATGAGACCACAGAACTTATGAGGAACAATACAAAAACTTTAAACAAAATATTAATGAACAGAATTTAGCAGTGTATTAAAACAGCGAACAAACTGTGTTGACAAAGCTTTCGTCCTAGAAATGCAAAAACATCTAATATTTGTTATAATAACAGCTTAAAACGGTGTTTCCATTAACCCCTGTAAGACTGGCAAATGGTTTGACAGCACAAACATTAACAGGGGCATGAAAAGTACAGAAATGAGCACTCTCCTGTGTTGCCCACAGAGAGCAATTTGCCATCCCTGAAAAAGTTAAACACACACATCCTTTGTCCCAGAAATGCCACTTGCAGAGATGCATTCCAAAAGCATATTCACACATTTTAAAAATTAGTCACAAATATATTCCTTGTAGCATTGTTTATTATGAAAAAATTAGAATACTATAAATGTCCATCACTAAGAGTGTGATCAACTTTAATGAATGTTACCAAAACAAATTTGATCAAATTTAATACCCATGCTTGATTTTTAAAAACATACTAAAACCAGCCAAGAAGAGAAACTTTTCCAATTTAATGTAGAGGAACTGCCAAAAGCTAGAGCAAAAACAAGGAATAAAAGGAACAAATACTGGAAAGGAAGGACAAAAACTATTTTCATGAAGATTTCGTAATTTTCTTGAACCAAATAAAAGGGGATAAGAACAAATAAGAGAGTTTAGAAGCATATCTAAGAAAAGAAAACGATAAAACCATAGCTTCCCTATATATCAGCAGTAACCCATCAGAAAATGAAAGAATGATTCCTAGGCCTTATAAAAAGCCCAAGCTGAGAAACATCTTACAGGTGAACATAACAAAAACAAGGAAGAAAACTAAACAGTTTTCCAAGATAACTCAATAAGAAAGACCATGCCTGTTATCCCATCTATGTGAGATATGGAGTTCGGAAAATCACAGCTCGAGGCCAGCCTAGACAAAAGTTAGGGAGACCCTATCTCAAAAAACAAGCTGGGTGTGGTGGGTTGTCCTTTGTTGTTGTTGTTGTTCTTTGCCAGGACTGGCCTCAATAGTGGACCCTTCTTATTTCCACCTCCCAAAACAGCTAGGGTTACAGGCTTGAGACATTACTCCCAGCCTCTGAGGACGACCTTTTTTAAGAAAATCAAATCAGTCTATAAATGCAATGCCACAGATCTCAATCAACTGCAGACAATGATTCAGGGAAATACCTCCACCAGAAAAGGTATGAATTGTTAAAGCATTTTTGCAAAACAAGGAATGAGAGATTAGAATTTGAAAGGTACACCCTTTTTGACCCAGTGGTTCCATTTCTAGGGATTTATTCTAAAGAAATATTTGCAAATGTTCAAAAGTATGCACAAAACCATTGCTGGTAGCAACCTTCAAATGAGAAAAACTGGAGCAATGTACATGTCCAGTCCTAGGGGAAGAGCTAAGTAATCTGTGTGTCTGTGCTGTAGAATATAATGCAGCATAAGAGGAGGGCAGTGTGTGTGGTGACCCTTTGTTTTGCCTCATGCCCAGGCCAGTTTCTTCCCTTCCTCTTTGTCCCAAGGACACTCACCATGATGGAGACAACCACAGGGCCTTTGATCACCCACCACAGAGCTGTGCTGTCATTCATATCCCAACAGCTGAAAGATGGGCAAAGAAAAGAGAGATCACATCCAGGGCTGGGTCCAGACACCTCAGGACACTACCAAGCTAACTGGGGATCTGCCACTTTCTTCCCCTGGAGCTCCTGAGAAAGGGCTAGGGAGCCCTGTGGTGGGCTGCAGAGGACAGGCCCTGGCTATAAGAGTGCCCTTTATCTTAACCTTATTTCCCTCAGCTCCCCTGTCAAGGCAGAGACTGGAACTCTAGTTGGGGTCATCAGTGGGCTCCTAGGAAAGGGTTGAGTCTCCCCCTCAGACATTGGCTGTTGGGATGACCCCCTCCTCAACATTCTTCCTCCCATCCCCAAAAGGAAAACAGACTCTCTGAGCTGCCCAAAAGAAGAGAGGGCTCAAAAATCTTGACCATTCTCTTGCAGGGTTGCTGGCTGACTCTCACTGGGTCAGGACTCTGGTGGCACCCAGGGCCAAGCTTCAATGTGCGGCTGGTGTTGGACGGATTGATGGGAGGTTCGTGTGAAGTCAGGCAGCCACTGCAGACCCATCATGAGAATCTACTCTGTTCTGTCCCTAACTCCCAGGCTGTACTCACCCTGTGTCATCAAAGTAGAGCCTCAGTGTAGCCCACACAGTCACACACACAGTAGGGGTCCCTGGGAGAGCAAAAAGAGGAAGCCCATGACAACAGTCCCATGTCCCTTCAGACTTGGAGTTCCTGATGACCCTCACTTTCCCTCACACCCAGGTTTTCTGGAAGAGCTATATTTCCCCAGGACTCAGGCTATTCCTCAGGAGGATTCCTGGGCATAACTCCTCCCTCAGACAGTGAGATTCCCACAAGCGGAAGAGCAAGAAAAGGTCCAAGAAAGAGCAGGTGGCCATCAGCATTGGGCAGGGCTCTTTCTTCATCTGATGTTCCCTGAAGCCAGGAGCAAGGACACAGCTAGCCATGAGGGCTGAACCCATCCAAGGCCAGCCAGTGACCTACCCCAGCCAATGATGGTATACCAGTAGAAATATCTCCTCTCAGGAAAGAAGGTCTCCACCAGCAACGTGAAGAGGTACAGGCCCTCAATGAAGAGCCAGAAGTAATTGGACACCACACAGTAGTGGAAGAAAACCATGACAGCCTTGCATTCCACCTGCAGCGACAGTGCAACAGTGCCCGGTAAGGAAGGCTGAACTCAATTCCCTGCCCCCACCCATATCCTGGAAATCCAGCCCCACAGGATCAGCAGGGAGGCCTGAATTCTGGCATGCTCAGCTCAAACATCCCAAGAGCATAAGGAACTCCATATTCCTGTATGGAAGAACTGAAAATTGTAGCAACCTGTGATTCTAAGTCAAAGCTGCCCAGGGAGGCAAAACAGTGCATGGGTACAGGCACAGGGCCCCCAGGTCCAATCTCCCCATCAGGGTAAGAGAATAGGGAGAAAAGCGGTTGAGGTCCCTACAGGAGGCTCCTTGTAAAATGAGGACCAGGATGCCTCACAGGTAGAGAGGACACACACTCTTACCCCCAGAAACCTTTTCTCAGACATATCCTCAAGTATGCCCTCCCAGTCAGCAGTCTAGACTCCAGGCTGTTCTTCCTGTACCACCCCATCAAAGCCCAGCTTCTCCGCACATGACCTCTTCCAAACATCTGAGGCTTGAGGAGGCATCTGGGAAGACCCTCAGCCGGTAAGCACTCAAGATCCCACATGGCCTAGTCAATGACTAGAGACCAAGCAAACCCCTCTGAGCCTCTTTCCTCCTCGGTCAAGCAGGCCTTGGCATCTTCCATGTTGCTCTACTAAACACAAGATCCAGGCTGAGACGTCAAACATTAACTACTAATAACTGTGTGGTGACTCCTACGAACTTCCACGTGAATCTTGGGTAATGCCTTCATCTGTGAGGACACCCGACACCTGCAGGCAAGGAGGGCTTGTCCTGAGGTGGTGGGGATGGGGGTGGGGCCTTCCTGGCAGGGGTCCCTCGGGTCATGCTGGGCTCACTCACTGTGGAGATAAAGCAGTGATTGCTGTCCTGCTCAGCATACAGGATCCAGTCTTTGATGAAGACAGAGATCGCCCTCAGCATGAAGGAAACAAATAGGTTCATGTGGATGAAGTTGCGGGTGCAGTGCAGCTTCCTACATGATGGATCAGGGAAGAGAGAGCCTTGAACCCCAAAACATTTCACACCCTCCACTCTGGGGGCTGCTTGGGGCCTATTCATGACTCCATCTCAACAGGGTGCCCACCTAGACCGACCCCCTTCTTTCTACCGCTCTAATCTTCACTGACTTCCAGACCCCTGTAATCTGGTCCCCCAACTCCCCATGGCCTCTCTATCTAGACCAGGAAGATAAAAGCAAATTAGACCTCCCCAGCTTTCACTAGGAGGCTGCATGACCCTGGACAAGTCAGTTGACCTCTCTGGGGTCAAGTTTCCCACCTGCCATGGTAGGGGTAAGGAAGTGCCTTCGAAGGGACCTTTCAGAAATGACATAGAGGGCTGGGCCCTGAGGAGCAGTGGACTTCGATGGCTTGAAAGTTGCTGGGATCTCACCGGAAGCGGCACAGGATGACCATGGCAGTGGTGAGCGTGACAAGGGAAGTGCTGTAGCCAACTGTGTACAAGGCCTTCACCGACAGGTAGTAATAATCCTAGAGTGGGGTACAGACAGGCACAGCTCCATGTAGGGCTTGCCATTGGCCCCCTAGGGCCCATGCCCAGTCTCCTGGGCCAGAGCCTGCCCATCTCTAAGCCCAGCTCCTCCTCCCTCTCTTCTAGTGATTTCCTTTCCCACAGCCCCTTCTCCTGGGGGAGCTGCTTATTTCTTAGCACAGTATCAGCATATTGCACATGCTTAATGTTTGTTGAAAGCAAGAGTGGTGACCAATCAGAACAGAAAGCAGCCTTAACCTGGGGAAGGCCCAGGACGCCCCCTGCCAGGCCCAGCATTAACCCTTCAATTGTTGGGTCAGAGCAAGGCCAGTGTCCCAAGAGAGGAGCCAGGGGAGTGGGAGACATGTGGTGGGTGCACTGGGTGGCACATCAGTGCTTCTCAGCCCCAGTAGAGTGAATGAGCACCTTGGCCTCCATGGTCCTGGCTTGGTGTGAAGCAGGAGCTTATGAATGCTGCCTAGAGCCCTGAGTTTCTGCCACTCTGCCCTGCCACCTCTGAGGGTCAGGGTGCAGACACTCACCTGGTCCCCAGTGTCAGGTTCATAGTCATCAAACCCACAAGCATCAAAATAATGGGGGAAGGGCTCCGACCAGCCATCCTCTGTGCAGTTCCGGCTCACCACCCCAGTGTCTGAAGCAAAAAGAAAATTCTGGTAAGGCACAGTTTTAATGACTTAAGAAGGCCATTAAATTCATGTGCAAAAATTACTTGTTAAGTGGGAATTCCTGGAAACCATGTGCCAACTGGGAGGCACAGACAGGTTTAACAGTCGATGAATGCTAAGGACTTGGAGCTTCACCTTTGCTAAGGACTCTGGGAGAAGAGGAGGCAATCCCTTAACCAGGCTGATCCCTAACCAATGGCAAGAAGACTCAGCCTATGCATCCAGCATCCCCTGCATCCTTCTTTCTGGAATATTCCCATATATCCACCAGAAAAGAGACAAAAGTCCTCCCCAGGGCTCTGGATCAGCACTTCTCAAATGCCATTGTGCAGAGGCTGATCATAAACATAGATTCCAAAAGCTGGGGGCATGGCTCATGTGGCAGAGTGCTTGCCAGCCCTGAGTTCAAACCCTAGTACTACCAAAAAAAATGCAGATTCCAGCCCTTCCTCAGCCCCAGGGACTCACATAGGACATCCAGGTGAGCCCAGGAATCACCCCAGGTGACTGTGAGGTATGAGTCCTCGGCACACTTTGAGCACACAGAACTCAGGGTCTCCCAGAACTATGACATCCTACACCAACGGGGCACCTGGCTTGCTTGCTTAATTAACAAGTCTAGACCTCCACTAATCTAATGCCAACCTTATTAAGATACATGTTTAATTTTTTTTTAAGTATGCCTTTCAGGGTTTGGGAATATAATTTTCTTCCTTCGATTGATTTTGTGGGACACCTGAGGGAGTAAGGTTAGTCACAGCATTTTTCTGGCTGCACAGTAGAGTTTGAGCTGGTTTTCACTGTTCAAGGGGCTGTTTTAGCCTCTAATGACTGCCCATGTCATTCTACCCTGAAACAGTAGTCTAGAGGGGAGGATCACTGATGTCTGGTAAGGGATGGGGAGAGGGCAAGCAGCTGCCTTTCCTCCAACCAGCACCTGAGTGTGGCCCTAGATTGGACACCTGTCCTCAAACTGGTTTCCTGGAGCTGCCTGTCTCTTTGATACATGGGGAAGACTCTTTCTTTCACAGGATTTGGGGACACAGAAATTGGGTTAAACAAGAGATGCCTGCAGAAAGGGGGCTTGGGGCACATGCTGCTGAATAGAACCATCCCTTCTGTGACCAAGATGGCCTCTGGAGTTCAGGAAGGAAGTGAGGACACAAGGAGGATGGTGGGCTAGGGCTGATGCATGGCAAAAGGCTGAGGCCAAGAGGGGAAACCTTCTGCTTCTCAGCCCACATCATTGCTGGTTGAGTTACCCTCAGACAAGAGAGTCTAAAACTTCCTTCCTGGGACTTGGGGAAGTGTGAGAAGTGGGGACTTTGCCAGGGAGGAGAGTCCTTCCCAGAGTGGAGAAACTGTCTCCATGGCTTCTCTGATGCTAAAGTGCTGTGGCACAGATGAAGGAGCAAGTCCATCAGGCCCAGGGACTATGAAAGAGCTAGCTTCTGTCCCACCATTTTGTGCCAAGTTATCCTTCCTTTCAGCAAATCTGTCTCAGGCTGCCACTGGCAACCTCCTTTCAAGCCCTTCAAACACTTCAGAAAGTCTGGCCATCCAGGGGAATCAAGGCCTTGGCCAAATCCTTCCCCAGCTTGGGCCTTATTTCCTCTCGCTTTGCCCACCTCAGCGTGGTGGGAAGAGGAAAGGGATGCTGCTTTGAAAAACAATTTTAAAAAAGTGTCCTGGGGGAAAAGCCATTTCCTTTCTTTTATTTTCCTTCTTTCTCTTTTCTTTTTATAACACAGTGTAGGCTCAGACAAGTATAAATTCTTTTGTTCCCAGAACTGTTCCATGAATATTATTCTGTTAGAAATCTCTGCAAGATAGAGGGCTCTCCAGATTGTCAAAACCCTGAAGTGACAGTACCTACTTCTGTAGGCTGTTTTGCCCAAGCAACTCCATAGGAGCACAGAATTTTAGGGCAGTGGTTCCCAAAGTAGGCATCCGCATCTTCCCCAGACCAGGCTATCTGTATCACCTTGGAGACTGGCTAGCAAGCCACCTGTTCAGGCCCTGCTCAGAGGGTCTGGGATGAGACTTCAGACTCAACATTTTAGAAAGCCCACAGGGGACACAATTAAAGAACCTCAATTCTACAGGTGAGAATTCAAAATTATCAGGGAGCATCTAATCCTGAGGCTCTTTACTTGGAGTCCACAAAGGGGCTTTACAAGACCTTCAGCTTCCCTAAACTTTCATGTACCATGTTCTGCCTGTGCACCTAAGTGTAATTTTCCATGAAGACATCCTGTAGATTTATCTGACAAGAGACAAGCCTAAGATCACACAGCCACAGAGGGCAGAGCTGGGCCTGTGTTGGGGTTTTAAAGGTCTTGGGTCAGCAGACACCCTTCAACCCGCCAGCCCATGGTTGGCCCCAGCCTATCCCTTACCTGAGAGATCTAAGGAGTTACTGTCATCAAAATCAAATTCTCCTGCAAAAATACAGATGTGAGCATGTGTCAAAATGCTTAATTTATCCATGTGCCACTTACCCACTGTTCACCCTCTAGAGTCCAGCCTTCCTCTGCTCTGGAGTTATTAGGGGTGGGGTCAAGAAGCAGCATCACAGACAGCAGCTGCACACCTTTCTGACACACTGACCCTCTAACACCAGTCTTTCTATGGTTGTGGCTGCCTGTCTGTGATGCACAGGATGGTCCATGACTCAGCCCCCAGCCCACCCCACCTGTGAGAACTGGAATGGGAACTACTGGGAGGATGGAGGGCTTCCTGAGTGGAGAGGAAAGGAAGGGAATAGAAAACAGCAAAGAACAGCAAGGGCCTGGAGTTTGGGGTTTCTTCTTTGGCCCTCAACCCTCTATCTCAGCTACAAGCCTGCTCTTCATCAAAGAGAACCCAGAACTCCAGAACTTCATCCTCAGACAATTTTCTTCTCTCTTCTTTATTCCCATTTCTACCCTCTTGCTCCATTAAATCCCATGCTAGCCTAGCAATGAACCTGCATTTCCTCTCAACTTCTCAAACCCTATTTCCAAGCTGACATGCTACCTCCTCCAGGCAATCTACCCTGAACTCCTCTGTTCTGCCTGCAGGCTGGTCAAAAGCTCTTTTCTGTTCTTTTGCTTGCTGGATGTACAATCCAGCTTCTCAGTTGGGAATGTCAGGGTCTGTGTGGTCTCCCACATAGGTTCAGGCCAATGTGTGTGCACATGCATACACCTATGCATATAGCTGGGTTTGTTTTGTAACTCCCTCATTGGTGACCCAACCTCCTGAACAAACCAAGGGCTGTGATCACCATCTTCCTGTGCCCTCACCACCAGGATGGTCAAGTTGGATGGGAAGAGGGGGAAAGAGGGAAGAACCTGATGCCTGATGAGCCTGACATGCTACCCCCACCCGCCCCTGATCCCAGCCACCAGAGCCTGGGATCTTCTGAGGCTGCTGGATGAGCAGATGGACAGCAGTCTGTTCTAATCAAGGTTCCTCTTACCGATGGTTCCGGTCTCCCAGACTGCAAGAGGAAGAGGAAGAGGGAGGGGAGGGAGAGGGAGAGAGGGAGAGAGAGAGAGGGAGAGAATGAGAATATGAACGAGAATGCACAGGCTGAAGACAGGGTCTACTCTCACTGCCCACTTCCTCCCACTCCCCAACCCCAAACTCTGGAGAGGGCTCTGCCGGGGGCCCAGAAGGCATGAGTTTCTCAAGCTGGACTCTCCAGGCACGAGAGAAAAACAGAATGCTCGGGGTATCTGCATGAAGGAGGCCAGGGCTCCCACCTCTCAGTATCTCCCCTGCACAGCCTGCCACTGGCAGGCTTCCTGGGAACAGAGAAAGCAAATAAGAAATGGCATTCTCTCCCTTCTAAGGGGAAGGCAAGTCTCACCAATCAAGCCTGTGAACAGAGGTGCTAAAGGCCCTGCCTTAATGAACCATTAAAAACCAGGTGTAAATAACATTCCCTGTGCACTGGCAGAGGGAGAGGCTGCAGAGGGAGGAAATGCATTGGGAGGAAGTCATGTTTTACGTTTTACTGTGGATTCATTTTGCCTTTTGTGGCTGCTGTTGCTGAAAAGAAGCAGTCTTGGCATTGAATCTGACCCAGAGTAGATGCTCAGCAAACTTTAAATAAATGACTGGATGAAAGCAATGCACACATAGAGGAAGTCATTAAGTTGGTTTGTAAAGGACTGAATTAGGAATCAGGCTGGATCACAGGCTGCCACTGTGCCTGGCGTCCCTCCTCCATTCATGCTACTCCATTCATGCTCCAATACTCCCCTGTCAGTCTCTTCTTCCAGAATTCAGTCCCCAGCCCACTCTGGGTCATACCCAGTCCCCAAGGCCTTGGGAAAGCTCACAAATCACCCTCTTCTGGGCTGGCAGGAGGTCTGGAGGTGGGAGGAGTGAGAAGCAAGGCAAGGTGGGGTACACAGTTGGCAAATCTCACCTTCTCTAGTCTTGGGATAGGAAACCAGGGACAGAGGCCTGAGATCCCAACACATGCCTCTATCTTTCTCTGCCACTTCCTGAAAGCCCCTTTCCATCCAGGGTGGAGGCAAATTATAGGAGTGTGAGGTTTGAAAGTGAATTTGTCTTTCACCTCTCAGACAAGACCTCCCCCCTCCCCCTGACTGCAGTGAGGCTGGGGCCATCAGGGCTTCCTGCCTTTGGGCAGAGCATCCTGCTTCATCACAGAGCTCAGCCACCATGTCCACACCACAGACTCCTAAATCAACCCCTGAATCTCTCCCCATCACTTCAGTGGTCCCCAGATACTTCAAACACAGATATTTCCAAAGTGAGTTCCTTAGGACTCTACCAACCTTCTTTGCAAGGAGAGTATCATTGTACATCTGTTTGCCAAACTTGAGTCTGCAAGTCATGGATCTATTTCCCATGTGTCCGTTGTCCTCTCCTGGGCAGCACAGGAGCCCCTGGATGATAGAACCCCCCCAGCTCCAACTCTCTTAAGCCCTACAGCCACATAAAGGGCAGTGACAGAAAAAATGGTTTGCTTGACAAGCAAGTGTGTTGGCTGGCCATAAGGGCCTGGGCTCCTGCCCACCTAAAGTGGTCTGGGAGTGTGGACACAGGTGAGTGCCCTCTGTGCAACTGCCATCTTCACACTCTCATCCAGCCCAAGGTTGACTAATCGAATGTCTATGTGTTCCTCAGGGCCTCTGAGACTCTCTGGCTATGACAGCTAATATTTACTACTGAACATACAAAATGTACCAAGGCCTGTGTTAAACGACATCCATACGTGGGACCTCATTTTATCCTGAGACCCCAGGAGAGGGAGCCACCATGCCACATTTCCATTTGGTAGGCCACATTTCCATTTGGGTAGAGGGGTGAACAGCCTTGTTCAACCTCCCCAGGAAGATAAGTGATATAGCTGGCATCAACCTCAAACCTGGGGGCCCAGCTTGCTCTCTCCCTTACCCGTCATGACATATATCAAGGGAACCTGGGCGCTGGGTGTTGGAGGAGCTCTTCTGTGCCCTCCATGAGCATGAGGGCTACGGTACTATCCTCCCCACCAACACATGACTCTCTGCCATCTGCCCACAGGGTGGCCCAGCTCTTGGTGCTGAACTTCAAGAACTGGACCAAGTCTGGGGAGTAGGCTAGACCAACGTAACCTGAAGAGATGCTGGGCTACCTACCTTGGTCTGGGTTAAAGATTCGGAAGAGCTCAGGGCAGGTGACAAGGACCATCTCACCTACATGGGCAGGCTTCCAACATGTGATGTTGTCCCACATGCCAGGGCAGCCTGAGGGGAGACAACTACAGTGAGTGTAGGGCCAGCCACACACAAACACCTCATACACATATACATGTGCATATGCCACACTAAGACACTGATACAATACACACATGCACACTCATAGCACATACACTCTAGACATACACATATATGCTCACACATGCACCTTATGCATGCACACACATGCTCATATATGCACCCTATGAACATGTACACTTACATATGCTTGATACACATACACACATGCACATACACATATGCTCACACATACACCCTACACATGTGCAGGCTCACACATGTGCCCTCCACACAGAGCACACACATTCATGCTCACACATTCACCCTATACACATGTGCACATGCCACATCCAGACACTGATACATGACACACTCACCACACATGTACCCTATGCATACACACACACTCACACACGGGTATGTGAGCTGCTCAGAAACCAGACCCTTTCAGGTGCAGGGGCAGAAGCAGCTTAGGAGCAGGAAAGACAAGAAAGACTTGTGGTCTAAGGGAGGCTCAGTGCTGGACCTGGAAGATCTCCCAGACAGGAGTGACACACAGCCAATGCAGAAGCTCCAGGGTAGGAAGGGATGCCTCACCTGATTTTACACAGTCTACAGCCCACTCCACCCTCAACTCTGCAGGACTGTGGGGAGGAAGAAGCACCAGGCTAGGGCTGGATCCCTAAGAATGATGCCATGCTGGATCTCTGTGGCAGCTCCTGTCTTGTCTCACTGACCCAGCTCTGCCTCAGTCTCCCAGCCTGCTCCCTCTCTTTCTGCCTCTTCCTGCAGCCTTAACACTGCCTCTAACCTCAGATCCACCTCCTCAGTGGGGTTCTCCCCACCCTACAGAGAAGGCCAGAACTAGTTGGCCTAAGGCTGTGCTCCACACCTCCACATGTCTCCCTGAACAGGCCTGGAGTAGGGAGCTGGCACAGGATTGGCACTTGGAGGAGGAGCACAAATCATCAGATGAGAAGAGGAGAAACCCATCCAGACAGAAGCCTGCATGTGCCAAGGTCTAAACTATGAAAGGTCTTGGAGCAGGAGGAGATGAGGGATGCAAGGACCACTGGGAGGCCAGCACAGTGTCATAGGAATTGGGCTGACAGAGAGGAAGAGTATTAGGGAATTGTAAAAACTTGGTGGCTACCGAGATGTGAGCTGTGAGGAAAAGGAAAACATTATGCCGGATAACCAGATTTGGAGGTTGTGGTGGCCCCTGACTTCTTATGCTTGCTGTGCCCTATCTCTCCTTCCAGCTATTGTCAGTCTCCTATTCATCCATCTCTGTCTCTCCTCAACATTGAATTGATTCTCACCAAGGTAATGGTGACCTCTTTGATGGCAAATCCAGGAAAAAATTCAGCCCTGGCTAAGTCATGCCTTGCCTACATGACTGACTATAGGTGCTAATGGCCACCTTGTCCTGGGCCATCTAGGCCATCTGCCCCATCACCCTGCTCAGGACATAACAGAATTACACTCAAACACCCCCAGTCCTCAGTCTCCAGCAATTCCCCAGGGCTGAACCTACAGCCAGTTAACTGCCAGGCTAAAAGCACTTCAAAGGCAGCAGTCCATGCCTCTGCTCAACACCTCCCACTAAACCTTCATCTTGTGTTTCAGCCCAGTTGTAAAGCTGTAAACCACCTTGCTCCATTGCCTTTGTCATTTACCACATCAAGTGCTACTGGGCTTCTCGGCAGTTGTTGGTGGACTCCATTACTCTCCACCAGGTCACAGCTACAGCATCCTCATGAGTCTCTACCATCAATCCCCACACATCTAAGCTCATTTCAAAATGAGTGTCTGGCTGGTCACACACTCGACCACCACCAATCCAAAGTTTTCCATGCTCTTAGTGCCCCTAATTCCTTAACATGGTACCATCAGCCCTTGCTCTACACCCATCCCTACTGGACTCTTTTTCACTCAAGTACAGCAGTGAGAGAGGTCACCAGGGAAAGGATGTAAAGTGAGAAAATAAGGAGGGTGACTCTAGGGACATCCCACACTTATAAAGTGAGCAGAGGAAGCATGTACAATCAACAAAGCATGGCAAAGGTGTAGCAGAAGCAAAAGAGCAGCATGTCACACAGCAGGGTAACGTTTCAGGAAAAGGACCTGACCTGCAGAGGGGTTTGTAAGCCATGGAGAGTACTTCTGTGTCACATAAGGGAAGCAAGAGACCCACCTCATAGGGCTGCTGAAAGGATTCATGATTACATACACGGAAAGCCCTTAGAACAGTGCCAGGCTCACTCCATTCATGTTCACTGTGGTCATTAGCATCAGTTTCATTATTTTGGTTAGGTGACCCTGGGAATCACTCCTCTGGAGGGACCAACCCATACAGGGAGATGAAGCAGATATTAGCAAGGTGAGATGACAGCTTGGTGGCTGGCTTCTGGCAGGCTTGGAGGACATATGGGCAGGTGCTAGGCAAAAGAGCAGGCCTAGAGCAGAGGTCATGGTCCCTCTGCCAAGATCATGACTTTTGGGTGCTGTTTGGGCCACAAGATATCCACAGCTTAGAGGTAGAGAAAACTAAACCTAATAGACGAGGTCTTGAAGGTTAAATGGGGGAAGCCAGCCTGAAGTCTCAGCAATGGGTCATTATGCATGATTCCTGTCTACCATTACAGCAGGGTGTCTCACTAGTACACAGCTGGCTGGGACATCATGTCCTTGAAAGAGACCCAACAGCACATCTTTGGCTGCCTTGGCCCATGCTGACTGTGTAATGGTTGTGGAGCACGGCCATGTCTGGCCCATGCCCTGGGAGCCCTAGCCAGCAGATGTTCCCATAATGCAGAACATTAGGCCTTGGCACAGCCAGCTGCTACTGCCAGCTGATATTGCTGAGGTCAAAGGGCCAATTTAATCCAGTGAGCAAGGACATAAGAGCTGAGGGGCAGGAAGGGATTCAGGGGCCAAGCAAGGTGCGCAAGAGGAGAAGGGGCTCCTGAGTTGGAGGTCAGAGGTAGAGGCAGGATGGCAGATATATGCTTTTCTTGTGTGTGTGTGTGTGTGTGTGTGTGTGTGTGTGCGTGTGTGTGCGTGTGTGTGCGTGTGTGTGCGTGTGTGTGGTACTTGGGGTTTGAACTGAAGGCCTCGCGCTTGCTAGGCAGGTGCTCTATCACTTGAGCCACAGTCCCTGCCCTGGGGTGATGTATACTCTTAATGACAATTTTCTGAGCCCCTGCCATGTATCAGGGGCCACCTAGGCATGAGGGTTGCAGGGATAGAGAAAACAGACATGGAATTTACATGTGAAGACAGAGCGAGGGGACAGGACCTCCCTTCAGCATCTGCACCACAAGTTCCTGGACTTTTCTGGTCTCCTCACCATGATTCATGTTCCTGGTGTGCAGAGAAAGTGCCAGGTGTCTGTGGGTAGTCCTAAGTTTGAGTGACCAGAGCTCGAGTCTCCAACAGAGCTCCCCAAGACTTTCTGATGCCTCAGAAATGGATGGGGATTGCCTTCCAAGGAAGATCTGCCAGGTTCACCCCATGGCCTGACTGCCAGAACTCTGGTGCCTCCTTTTGTCCCCAGCCTGCATCCTATGTCCCTGCAGCCAGGACAGCAGGACAACCAGAACAAGAGCCCATGACCCTGGGGTACAAATCTCAGGATATGTCCTGTCCCACAAGGAACTCACAGCCTTCAAGTTTAAGAGGACAGGCAGTGGGCACTAAAGAGGGCTCAGCTGAGGACAGAAACTTATTTTTCTGCCACTCGTGAGAACTCATGCATCTCTTATACTCTATCCATTCCTCACTCCAGGCTCAACATGCACCAGCTCAGCACAGCTTCATTGTGTTGGAACTGGAAGATTTCAAGATACCTTTTCTACCTCCAACCCCCTCTCCTCTCACCCTTTTTTCCTTCTCCCTTTCCTCTTCTCCTCCCCTTCATTCACTCAAAAAATACTAAGCTAAAAATTATGAGTCAGAATGAAGAGCAGGGTCAGTGGAGTGGCTCAAGTGGTAGAGGGCTTTCCTAGCAAGTGTGAGGCACTGAGATCAAACCTCAGTACCACCAAAAAAAAAAAAAAAACAAAAACAAAAAAAATCTCACTTGGAAACAGAACAAAGAGCAATGCAGGAGTGAAGAAAAAGATCCCACTCTGGGCCCCATAGAGATTGTAATCTGGTGAAGCATGTTAATGATGTTATGCTAAATGCCAAGAGGCCATTGGATGTTGTGTTAGTTTCCTATGGCTACTTGAGGATTATAAGTAAATTTAGTGTCCTGACATGGCACAAGTTATTATTATGCAGTTCTGGAGGTCAGAGGTCTGAAATGGTTTTCACTAGGCTAAAAGCATGGGCTACATTCCTTCTAGAGGCTCCAGAAAGAATATTTCTCCGCCTTTTCCAGATTTAAGTGGCCACCTCATTCCTTGGCTCATGGCCCCTTCCCCATCATCAAAGCCACCAGTTTAATAGCTTTAAGTGTCTGTCTGACTCTCCTGTGTTCTTTTACTTATAAGCATTCATATGATCATGCTGGGTTCATCAGAATAATCCAAGATAATCTTCTCATCCCAAAATCCTGAACTTAATTGCATATTAAAAGTCCCTTTTGCCATATAAGGTCACATGTTCACAAGTTTGAAGAATTGGGTTGTGGGCACTTGTCTCTGGGCAGTAGCAAGAAGCCTTATTCTGTCTACCACAGATGGATTTTTAGGACAAAGAGCCATGTGATCTGATTTGATGAGGCAGGGAGATAATACATTTCAAGAGCAGAAAAGCAGACATAGGAAGACCTGTCAGGGCACACCAGTGGTCCAGGGGAGGATGAAAGAACTTAATGTGCAGTGATGGCAGCAGATATGAAAAGGACTGTGCAAGTCAGTCTAGAGAAGAGTGACAGTGCTTGGTGACAGGACTGGCTGAAACTGGCTGGTGAGTGTCAGAGACAGTGTTCACTCATATCATGTGATTTATCACTGTAGCCTGAGTTCTTAGCCATGGCA